TATTAAATCACTTCCATTTCTTTTAGCACTTCAAGATCTGACCAAAACAAAGAAAACAAAAAACACTGTCTCTTGTGTCACTGACAGGAAATGCAATACTTATGTGCGTCTGTGTTTGTACCAGAGGATGTTGCTAACCAGAAGGATAATGAAAGTGAAGGCTTCTTTTTAGATGCATATGAGGAGACAAGACCAGTGTGCACAATATTCATTATCCTAAGGCTTTTTGCACCAGCTTATATGCCCAATAATTAAATTAAATGTAAAAGCTTTTAAATATTATAAAAATTAAGAGCATGCACAAGGACTTTTTAAAACTTTATTCAGCATCACGTTTCATTTGTCTCATCCTCCATCATCTAAAGTGTGCTGTTCACTGCTGCAGACATTAGTTTATACAGCCACAAGAGCTGATGCCTGCTCAGTCTCATTGCCATGGCAACCAAGTTCACAATATCCACCCGTTTAAGTAATCATGCTATTTATCTTGTTCCCAGAATAGCCCGAGGATGCAGGTACCTGAAGCCTGGAGAAATGCGTCACACATAAGGCATTTGAAAAATATGGAACATTAAGTTTTATGATGAATTTTAGGAAAATAATGCACCCAGTTGTGTTCAAATCCAATAGAATATCCCCCTAAAATAACATTTAATTCTGATTAATTCTAAAAATGTTTCCATAGGGTCTCTAAAAATTAGCATATCTATTCTCATACACACAGGAAAATATAATTCTTTCACAAACTGACCACAAGTAGCTCCTCCTGGCACCCCGAATGTCAGCACTCGTTAAAACGCTGCCAAGGAATGAGTTAAAATGATGTTCATATTCCAAATTTAAACTGGACATGACTAGAGAAAACACATTAAACTAGCGTGGCCTGCAGTTAATCTTCAGAAAGACACATTAGAGGCTGATGTAATGACTTTTACAGGTCTGTCTCCTGCACTGTTTTCTTTCCGTATGCATCAGCTCATTTGGAAAGAAAACCACAAACTAGCACAGCAGACGTGTGTGTGGTTGGGGTGTGTGTGTGTGTGTGTGTGTGTGTGTGTGTGTAAGACAATTTAACAATCAGCACATGAGCTAAAAGTAAAGTATGATTCAAACGAGTTAGCTATTCAAGTGAATCAGTTAAAGACAGACGTTCAAAGAAAAAAAGACGGAAGTGTTCCCATTTGTTCAAGAGGTCAGGGTCGAGTTTTTTTGCTTACTTTTTTCCTCACTTGTCTCTGGTCACCGTTTCTGTGGTGCCGGCTTTATGGTGCTGTCTCCAGCGAGGAGGCATTGTGCGCACTTGATGTGTTTGTTGGCACAGGCTGAACCTTTCCATCAAACCACTGGGGTGGTGGAAAGTAGAATAAAAAGAAATGGAGGAGGAGGAGAGAGGAAACACTTCAGTGGCTCACATGAATAGACGTTGAGTTTAACGTCTAAATTATAACTGCACAAAGAGAAAGGAAATGTAAAATGTTACAATAGCATTTAGCCATTTGCTTCATGTTAAAACGTTATAAGCTGAAAAGCCCAAATCAACATGTGGTTTTACATAAAAACAAGAAGTTGTTGACTTTGCAAATGTGTTGTTAGATTTCAGACTTTAGTTGTAAATACTTTATCTATTTTAGATTAACTTTCCTCTGCAAAATCTGCTTGTATGTCCTCCCTGCAGCCTGTGCAACCTTCAGTAAATGGCAGAGATTAGCAACACATTTCTGAACGCACGGTAGCTGAGAGACATGTGAGCAACCTCCCCATTGGCTCAAATCTTGTGGTTTGTCACCACTTTAGGATTTGTAGATCTGTAAAACCTTGACATTGATACTGTGCATGTATTAGGATTTGAATATTAAATATTTAAAAACAAGCACTATTGGTGTCCAGCCTGCAAAAATTAACTTTAATTTTTGAGTTTGGAAGAAGTGACTTTAACTCTCAGCATGAAAGTTTATCTGTTTATATCTATCAATCAAATGGCAATAGCATTGGTCAGGGTTATAGCTCCCTATGCAATATGTGATGTCAGCAAGTACCCAGTTTTCAGGCAAACAGAAGGTTGAGAAAAATACAATTAGTGCTGTATTCATAAATTGTGCCTATAAAAAATATAAAGCAGAAAAATGGTATTTAAGAAGCTTTGTTGCTATGGGACTTGCAAGAGTGACGGTATGCTAACAAGCCTCATGTACCATTTATATGGTTCATGTTGTTTCCAAAGTCGACTACTCGGAAAGAAATGTGACTGTTGGACTTGACCGCACTAATGTAAATAATAATACTTGCATCTATGTGGCAGGATAATATTTCAAAAAATACCAGAGACCCTAAAAATATATGGTTTATATCTAAAATTAGCAAAACAAAAAGGAAAACTTGTTTCATTCCTGTTCCTGAGCCAAACATTGATAAGAGAACTTAGAACCTATCAATTCTTTAAAACCATTTTCACTTTTGAAAAAATAGAGTAAAAGAACTGATAGCCAACAGCTTAATGGCTAACACTGACTAACAAAGTAAAATAAAAGAAGCAGCTGGCAAAACCATTCATCTGACCTGCTGCTGCAGTACTGTACATGGCATCAATGGCACACATCATGCACGGAATATTCTATTTGTGCTCTTTTCCACCAAGGCAAAAGAGCAAGTATCAGCACAGAAACATCAGGAACGCCATACATACCTTTGTATCAATTTGGCCTGGTTGCCAGACACTGCTAGTCCCCTGCATTGTAGCAAGTGCTTGAGCTGCTTATTACTGGATCTTTCAATATATTCTAATCTGATTTTTGCCCTGAGTTCATCGCTTTTCTGTAAATTGACATGGACAAAATCTTTCGAGGTAGCCATTATGCATGTAGTGTGCTACATTGTTTGCCCGATATCTGGGACTTTGGGGATTCCCCACAATTCTCATGACATCATCCCTGACCAACACTATTAAAGAGCATGTATGAATTCACTTTGTCTTCTTAAAACAGATAAACTGACCAGACTGACCATTGATTTAAAAGGTTTCATCTGAAATTTCAACGAGAACTAGAGATTCACTAATATGTTTGTCATGTTTAACTTCATTCATCTGTGCCATGTAAAAGCAGAAATCACAGCATTTGGAGAAAATTAAAACACCTTTTAAAATGATGGAAGTCTATGAAAATCTGCATCTGATCACGTTAGGATGCCATCAGGACTTGTTGGATTGTGTCAATTTTAAAAGTATTCAAAATAATTTGTTTCAGCAACAAAGTTACAACTAAAATAAGAAAAAAAATGGGCTCAGGATGAGATCAGCTAATTATTTATCAGGAGAAATGTTATTCTGACATAAATGGGAACAGTTTCCGTTTAGCAGATGTGGTATGCATCTCCATCAGCCTCAACTTGACTAACTGCTGACAGACAGAAGTTGAAACATCGAAGGAGACAAACTGTTCAAATAAAAACTTTGGAATTCATCTATTTTTATCCAGCTCTGACATTCAAGCTGCTTTCATCAGGAAAGTGGCAGACATGAGTCAGCGTTTCCATTTTACACACATAATCACACTATTTGCTCATTTGTAACATTCCACATCTAAAAACAGACTTTATTATTAGATATATTTTGTTGTTGATTAAGACAATGTAGTCAAAGCTTGAAAAATATTGCTTTTTCTTGTCTGATTGTTCAATTTTCCATACATTTCCAACAAATGCATGCAAATTCTACCCAGCAAGCAAAACACATATGCTGTACCAGTCGACACTGTAAAGCAAATTGTTGGTCCATCACACAAGCAGAGGCCAGGGGTACAACAAGAAAAACAATTAAATTGGTCCAAACAGTCAGATTATCATAACAGTGCAACTGTCTAAGGAAAAAGACAGGATTGTGTTCTTAACATTTATATTATTCAGGCACGACTTTTGCATTAAATAAAACTACATCAGGCGACAATAATCATTAAAACTAAAGAAAAATATTCAGGATTTGCACAGCCAGTCACAAGTAGATGCACAGAGTAGCTGTCTTGTGATTGAGTGAATATACAACACTGCAGGTTGTTACACCGAAGTCAAAGTTCACAAAAGACACAAATATCATGTCCGATATATTATTTTAGAGAGTTCAACTTCTGACCTCACTGCTTTTGTCATTAATAGTATCTACTGTGTGTCAGAGGAATGTTTGGGCAGAAACATGCGCACAGTTTTAAGATAGATTTAAGATTTAGGATTAATACTTGCATTGAACTTTTTGGTAACACTAAAGGATGCTTTATATCACGACTGGAAGAACCCACTTATAACGTTTAAAAGAAAGTCTACACACAACGTTTTTTTTTAAGTTTACTCAGGGGTTGTCTGTTTTCTTCTTCTGCTCTTTCAAAGTGGATACTTACCGTATTTTCCAGACTATAAGTCACACTTATTTTCAAAGTTTGGCCAGTCCTGCGACTTGTAGTCCAAAGCAACTTGTATACAGTTTTTCGGACTCGTTGGCTTGTTTTTAATTAAGCCTGTTCAGGTTACCAAGTATGTTCTGTGTGTCACTATCATTTCAGATTAAATGTCTGTTCTTGCACTTTGTGAAATACACTTCTAAATAAATGCGACTTATGTCATTTTCGCACCTGATAGTCCGGTAGACTCGGTTCGATTGAGGACCAAAATTCAGAACATTTGTTGACATTTTCAGCTAGTGCGGTTCACATTCACACTGCACTGAGTCAATCGAGCCAATCAAGCTATATTTTTAAAAAGAAGTATAAACAAATAAAATATCTAAATTATTCAAAATAAAATCAGGGAATGCCCCAAAATACCCTGAGAAAAAATATGGCACTAAATTTTAAAAGTAATTTTCCTACATTTGTGTTAGGCAGCCGTGTCTGACTAAAAATGGACAAAATCAATCTGCCTAAACTCTGACATCATTGTTTTCTAGAAAGTTGGTGCAGTCACAGAAGGGAGCAAAATATGTTAAAGTTTTTTAAACCGTGTTTCTCACTGAGTCTCACTATGTGCATTTCATATAATACTTCACTTCTGAACTTCAGAACTGATTTTTTTTTTACAAAAAAGTCACATCTTCTTGCGACTGCACCCAGTGCCAGTGAGCGTCGTACTCCAGATGCACTTTGCCGTTCAATTTGCATGAATCCAAGTCAATCTTTCCATTTTTGTAAGGTTTGACTTTGGGGCTTTGACACTTATCCATTTTCTCAGCGAGGCCTCTGTGAGTTGGACTGCCTGTTGTTGGTTTCTCTCGGACACCGTTTGCCCTTCTTATTGGTGTCTGGGTATTGTCCTTTAAAACAGGACTTCCTTTATTCGTGTCTGCAGGCTTGGTCCAAACTGGAGCATCTGACTTGGAGCCGTCAGACTTTACTTGGGAAGAAATGACAGAAGAAACTTGTTTTCCAGCTCTGCTAATAGCAGCACCAGTGAGAACACCACTAACTCCATTCTCAGGGCCACCTCTAATCTCTGTCTGAACGCCATCCCCAGTTCCATTGTCATTTGTCCCACACTGAGTCCCACTCCCAGTTTCATTACCAGACTGAACCCCCACTCCAGGTCCTGTTCCAGACACTATGACCCTGGATCCTCCCATATTGCCCCCAGCTGTCACTTCTGAGGCTAGTGGTGTGGTGGAGCAGATGACTGACTCTGAGCTTGAGGGGCAGTACTCGTCCAAGTCATCAGCCAGGGTATCCAGGTAGCTGCCAACGGAGATGTTATCCAGTTTGTCATTAGTGGGATCCTGCAAGCTGCTCCAGGAACCTCTCCAAGAGGTGTCGGGGCCCTCGCCCAGGCTGTACTGACTGCTGGTCAGGCTGCTGCAGTGGCTGGTGAGTGTGCTGCGCTCCTCCATCAGCCATTTCACTGCCTCGATGCCCTCATGGACTGCCAGTAACTGCTGCAAGATCTTCACGTCCACTGAACGCAAATGAGCCTGTGAACACACACATAACAAAAACATTACATTTTAAACTCATGGTGAAGATGGATAATCAAAATAACCAGTTCTGACTTAGGAGACATGTGGAAAAATAATTATATTGCTATTGGAATTTTACAGATTGGCATAATTAGAAGAAATGTATAACAGACTTTCGTAAAGTGGAAGCTGCAATAAAAATGGGAGGTAATTTAAAGCAGAGAAGAAACAGACTTGCAGATGAAAGTCACAACGAGAATGTGACCCAAACTGGCTCTACAGGAGAAACTGAGACAAAAACTGAGCACAGCAGTAAGTATGATGCATTAACTGTTTAAACAGCCTTTTAAATACCCTAAAAATATCTATTTATCCATTACATCAAGGTAAAAAGTAAGTAATGTTTACCATATTTTTGGACTAAAAGGCGCATTAAGCGGAACAAAACCGTCAGATAAGATAAACTTAATTCAACTCGTTCACAATAACCACATAAACTCAGTTCAAGGTCAGTAAGCACAATCAGAATTCATACATAAGGTGCGCCGGATTATAAGGCTCACCGTCTATTTTTGAGAAAATTAAAGGATTTTAGGTGCGCATAATAGTCCAAAAAATACAGTACAACAAAACAAGACCTACTGAAACCTTCTAGTGTTAGAAAGGGATGATTTAAAAGTTTCATGCAATATGAGAGGAGCAATATTTCTGTAGTCATGGAAAATTTCTCTAGAATATATTTGCAAAGTACTTTATTGAAATGGAGCACCAGTATCTCAAACTAAATGTATCATCACTTTAGACAAATGTTCTCGCAGCCATAAAGCACTAAAGTTGCTCAATTTTTTGAGTTTAAAATGTGCAATGAAAAAATTCTAAACAGAAACCTTATAATGGAAGTATTTCTTTTGACTAATAATTCTACATGTGCTAAAACTCTGCATTCAAATTGTGAACATGTATGTAATTTGTGTTACAAGCGAGACAAGTACATCTACCCTGAAAATGTCCCGAAGCTGTTTCCCTCCTCTCTGTTGCCCTATCAAAATTACAGGGTGTCTGGTGAGGCTTAGGTCACAGCTGCTGTTAAATACCACCTTAGCCATAAATACCTGTTTACTGCATCCACACACCATCCATTGCAATAATGCTTTCACAGTTTTTCAGGCTATAGTTTATTTTTAAGTCTGTTACATCAGTAGTTGGTTTAGATTTATCTTTTCTTGGCCTCTAGATCCATCTAGGTCATGATCTCATCACATCAAGTAATTTAAGATTCCATAATGAGGAGACTATTTATCAAATTCAAAGCTATACCAAGTCCTGATCACTGCAGACCGCACATACCTGTTATAAAAACTAAACTTTGTAAATCTTCCACCATCTTTTAACTCAGCTTTTTAGTTGCAATGCTATTGACTCCTCTGTCCATCCATTCATTATCTCCTCTCACTTTTTCCTTCTGGGTGGGGTATATCTGGTACCTATCTCCAGTGGTCACTGTCCGAGAGGTGGGGGACACCCTGGACAGGTCGCAAATCCATGGCCACAGAGACAAACAACCACTCACACTCTTACTCACACCTAGGGATATAGTTACAAATCAACCAAATATGCATGTTTTTTAGTTTGTGGGAGGAAACTGAAGTAGCTGAGAAATCCCATGCATGCATGAGGAGAACATGCAAACTCTGAAGGCCCCAGGCTGGGAGGCGAACCTGGAATCTTTATTACATCTGAACCAGACGATATGGTTTTCTGATGAGAACTGCTCCGATTCTGGTTGAGTTTTGTCAATGGCAACACACGAGTCAAAAGGCAAACAGAAAACCTGGAGTGAAGGACGAGGCAGGATTTTCACAGGAGAAAAGAATATGGTCAGTGTGGTTTAGATGTGATGTACATTATGTAATTTACATCTGCAGATTCAGCTCTACAGCTACATGAGGAGGGTAAATGAATTAGCCGTTTTTTATTCTTTTGCACACGTGGCTCTGAAACTGCTGGCTTTCTGGCATGAGCACAGAGTTGTGGTTGAGGTATTTGGCTGGCAGCGGCTAAGGGTTTAATGAGGCTAGTGATAAAAGTAACTCCATGTCTGTCAGCGCTGAGGTGGCACAATGCTAACAGAACTCTGTGTGCTCGACTCGGCTGCTGAGACTACAGATCAACTAGATTTATTTTGTTGTCAAACCTCAATCTATTACTGTGTTTTACTGAGAGAAGACATGGAAAACAAACGTTGACATTTTAGATGGCGTACAAGCCATTTTGAGAAATAGGTTGTTTAACTGTCGAAACATGAATAGAGCTTTTATTCTGTAGGTCTTTTTGTGCAACCAGTGGTTTCTCTTGAGGAGGCATTTCTTTCATCTCCATCTAGAGCTATCATTTCTAGCCCAAACCCGGAGCCTGGCCCCGCCTGACCCAGATTAGGGCCAGTCCGGGTCATGTGCAGGCCAGGTTGGTGTCGGGCTTTTGATTGCGTCAGCGGACGCGCACAGCTGACAATTCAATTATATGGCAACATGGCTTGTCATACATTCACCAGCCGCATGCCACCATTTGACAGCGTGCTGACCGGCCTTGAAAAAGGTAAGAAGTTCAGTTAAGCTTCAGATGGACTACTGCCAATGATCCATCAACCCAAATGGACGTTCATTCAGCTGCTGCACTCAGCGACGCACACGGCCGATGACCCAAACAGGTGAGATCCCAAAATATCCAACATGTCAGAGCAGGGTCCATGTCTGAATAATGCAGAATGCAGGCAGAAGCAGGGATTTAATGTGCTATGACGGCCATGAAAGGACAAGCACCCCCTCAGCTCCGATCTTCTGCCCCCTTTACTCAGCCGTGCACATTCGCCAACAGTTAATAACTATATAAGTAGTCAAAGCTTACCGGTAATTAAAAATGTCAGGGTTTTTTTTCAGGTTCCGACCTGTAATTACTGTTAATTTGTCGGGTCGGGTGGGGTTCGGAAATGATGGCTTCGGGCTTGGGCCGGGTCGGATTTTTTGGGCCAGAATGCAACTCTATCACCATCATTATCACAGTTTTGTTTCTTCAATTTTGCAATGAATTCAAACATGCTCATTATAGAACGGTCACTGGTGAAAGGGAAAAAAAAAAACGTTAAACCGAAGCTTAAAATGTTTGTTACACTCAACAGAATGGGAGCAGTTAACGGGGTTCCAGAACAAAATGCTTCGAAGACTAAGTTGTAACAGACCATCTTGCCATCTTTTAGAAGTCATCACAAAACAGCCAAACACATTTCAGCCTCTCGACTCAAGCATGAGGAACCGTTTGGCTGATCCATGGGATTCTCGAAAGCTTGATTCCCAGCCATTTTATATTTATCGTATATTGTGACCTGCACAGAAAATACTAATTATTCAGCAGGTAGATTTTAGAATGTTTGTCAAAACATTTAAGATAATTACAGAAAAAAATAATCTCATCATAAAAATATACACAATTTGGTTTAATGGTGTAGCTGAATAAATCATTGAAAGAAAAAAATTAAATCAACAGAATTATTGTTGTTTTTTTTTTTACACTTGTCAGACTCATCAAGATGCTACTTTGGGATCTATAATAATAAGATTATAGAAAGGTAAGAATAGAGTTTTTTTCCCTCTGATACAACCTGGACACATTCACTATATTATACAAAAAAGGCTACAAAGTACGACAGGCCAAGGAAATAGGTATATGTAGAGGGGTAGGTCAGAGCCAAATACAGACAACTGGAGAAAGTTTTAACAACTGAGGAATACTTATTATGGACCAATTTATGCAAACAGAGGTACTCAGAAAACAGGGTAGTATATGTACTGAGAAGGGTGATTACTGAGTGAAAGCAGGTGTGCTGATCAGGGATGAACAACAGGTGTACGTGGAAATGGAAGCAAAAAAAAAAAAAAAAAATTTTTTTAGAGGCTAACGCAAAATAACACAATGAAATCCAAGAAAGCCAAACAGGAATTTGCTCAAACCAACAAAACACACACAAAGGCCCTAATTTATGGATCAAAACAAATTTGTTTGGTGCCGTTTTCACGTGCATCTCTTTAACAAGTACGACCATTGAACTGAAGCAAACAGATGAACATATAAAGATTGTGCAGTCAGTGTTGCTGAAGTTCAAATTTCTACGCACAAACAAATAAACTTTAGTCAGCATAGAAAAGAAATAATTTATTCCTCAAGCTGCTGCATGAAATAAAAACTAGCAGTTTAGAAAATATACATATGATTTTCTTTTGTTATAAAAAACAACAACAACACTCATTTACCCTGCTACTTCAAGGACAATGAAGCTGAAGAAACACAGGTGCATCTAAAACTATTGGAATAAAGTTTTGTGAAAAAGTTCAACTTTCGTGTCAGTCAGAAAGTTCAACTTTTATTATATCGAATTACATCGGTTGATTACAAGTGGGGAGGGGTGGGGCAGAGGTTAGAGAAGGTGGGCCTGTGATCGGAAGATGGCCGGTTCAAGCCCCGGTACCAACAACATCAAAAATGTGGGTGGGGTAGGTGAAGCACCCACACCTGCCCCCACCCTCATTCGTCCCACTCTGGGCCCTTAAGAAAAGCCCTTAACCCCCACCATCTGCTCCTCCGGGTGTCCTAGATATCAGCTCTCTGCTCCACACAGAGGGCTGTGGTAGCTCGGTGGTCTGTGGTTACGTCAGGAAGGGCATCCGGTGTAAAAATAACTGCCAAGTCTTCGTGCGACTTAGTTCGCTGTGGTGACCCCTGAAGAAGGGAGCAGCCGAAAGAAGAAAAATAAATAAATAATAAATAATAAAAAAAAAATATATATATATATATACATACAGTACAGCGCCAAGTCACAACAGAAATCTCAGGACACTGAACAGATACATCCATATATAATAATAATAATTTAAGACTTTATCTGAGGAGCAGACTGCTTTGAAATTAACTCCATCACAGAACTCTCAAAAGAACTGGACTGTGGTCCAATATCCTCTTTTCAGATTAAAGTAAAAATGTTATGCCATTTGGAAATCAAGGTCCCAGAGTCTGAGGAAGAGTGAAGAGGCCCAGAATACATGTTGTTGAAGTCCAGCATGAAGTTTCCACAGTCATTGATGGTTTGGGTCCATGTCCTCTGCTGGTGTTGGTCCACTGGGTTTCCTTAAGTCCTCAGTCAGCGCAGCATCTACCAGGACATTTTAGATCACTGCATACTTCCTTCTGCTTACGAGCTTTATGGAGATGCTGATTTGATTTTTCTGCCCACCCCGCCCCTCACACAGTGATTGCTGGACATGGGCACCGGCGACCCCCGTGATTCAAAATGGAAGAAGCGGGTAAAAGATAATGCATGGATGGATGGACGGACTTCCTGCCCACACTGCCAAAGGTACCAAAAGCTGTCTGTGGAATATTCTAATTTTCTGAGACTCTGAACTTTGGTTTTTCATTATATTTAAGTCATAATCATAAAAATTACAAGAACTAAAGGCTTGAAATACTTCACTTTGTGTAATGAATCCATGTAATATGAGTTTCACTTTCTGAAATGATAATAATAATAATACTGTATGTCAATTTTTTTGATGCACCTGTAGATTTTCGAGATGACAACAGACAGCTGAAGAGTGATCTGTGACATGGACGTGCCCCTTGGTCAGAAACAGCTCCACAGTGTCACACAGCTACTGGACAGACGGCTAACAGCTAACTCACAGCCAGCTGGGAGCCTGTTTATTTCATACACCAAATAAACACACTGTCGCCTGTGTCCCCTGTCTGTATCTTCTGTGTCAAGTCCTGATCTCACTGGGGTTTTCTGCAGACAGACGGTGTCCTTGCTGAGTCTCTTCAGTCTGAATTAGACCTTCAGCAGACCATCTGTCTGCATTCACCTCTGATCTTTTGCATAATTGTAAAAGAGACAACAGACAGCAGAAAAATGAGACAGTGTGTTTATTTGGTGTATGAAATAAACAGGCTCCCA